AATAAGAATTTTAAAAGAGCTCTTCAATGTGAAAAAAACTGATTTTTTTTAAAAAACACACTGAACTACACATCCACCTACACATACAAAGACAAAATTTTGGATGATGTCAAAACCTCCAAAAGGTTTAGCATTTGCTATATTGTAACCCATCTATCTGTTTATTTATCTATCTACCTATCTATCTATTGTATGTATCCTCCACTTTTCTATCTACCTGCCAACTTACTCGTCTTATTTATTATGAATTGGATTTGTTCAAATCATTGTCTAAATCTGCTTCTTGTTGGCATCATCATTATTAACTTATTATTCCATTCATTAATATTTTTGCCATTTTTTTCAGCGCTGGAAAATCCACATTTGTTCTCCTATGCAGCTTTCCCAAACACCTGCTTTTTATAATGTAAACATCCCTACTATGCACTCTGGCAGTGGGAATGTGTCTATGATTCATCCTAAAATCATGGTAATTGTGACAAAAGAAAATGTAGAATATTCAGTACTGAGAATGTTAATGTGGAGAAAAGGTGCAATTCATGTTTATATAAACACTTTCCATTCTATGATGTTTTCTCTCATTTCTGTACTTCAAAGACAATCATAGCAGCAAATTAGTTTAATCTCTTGTGTCTCAAGGTAACCTGAGTTATAATTCTCACTATACAAAGAAAAAAGGAGTTTCTATTCATAAAAGTAGGAAAAGAACCCTGTACATTTAAAAACCGTCACTGTTTTTGTTATGTTATTGTTTTCCTGAAGCGAATTTTCACAAGCAAGAAAAAACAACTGGGCAATGTTGCTGACATGGGAACCAGACCCTTCGACAAACCCCTATGTCTACTTTGCCCCCATAATTACATCAAGAGCACCATCACAGACCCTGACAAATTCACACGTAAGATTAGAGGTGACTTCAGATGCTCTTCCTCTAATGTGATGTATGCCACCATCAGCCAGCTATGCCCCTCTGATTCTGCATAGGATAAACAGACCAAACTGTGTGCAAAATAATTTTTTTTAATATAATTTTTATTGAAAGCTTTAACAGCAATAATAAGAACTAATACAAACTAAAATTGAACAGAGAAAAGGAAAAGGAAAGAGAAAAATAAAAGAAGCCCCTTTCTCTCTCTCCTTCCCACCTAATTGTAGTTTTGATACTACAATGATTAAAGAAAATGGAACACACTGCTCTTTAATTCCTTCTTTCCATTACGAGTTTATAAAATTTTGTGGCAAGGAAAAACTGATCATTCATATTCAGAGTGGCATTCACTGAAACTTTGTAACTTTGTTCCAATTGTTCAATGTTGTAACTTAATTTTTTTTTTTTTAAGGAAATAGAAAATTGTGTGGAAGGAGACACAGTAAGTCAATTGGATTTAATTTCATTTGCAGTGAATTAAAATCAAATACAGTTTAAACCAAAGGCATGGGAGTAATCTTTCCAACTGTATTTGATTTTAATTCACTGCAAATGAAATTAAACCCAATTGACTTACTGTGCCTCCTTCCACATAATATTTTCCCCCCTTCTGTTACAATAAAAGTTACAATTTGGAAACAGATTTTGAAAGTCTTTGTAGGTTATCCACTGAATTTTGGGATGCTTTCAGGGACCACATGCAACTTTACGGTTGCTTATTTATTTGTAATTTATAAAACACATTTTTAGGGTTGCCCTGTAAGGATCGCTGCATTCAGCGCTGAACAAAAACCTCATAAGACACAGGCTTGGATGAAAATTAGTTTAGTCAGGCATAATGCGTAATGGTTACAGACAAAGCCAGAATTGGCTTGATGTGGTTTTTTACAGTGTTTTATAGGGTTCCTCCCCTACCCGTAGTTACCCTTGACTTCCTCCTTCCTTTTGTCATGTGGACAAAACCGGGGTTTTTTAATTGGTTGCCGATCGCCTCTGGATTGCTGTGTCCCTGAAGTATTGTAGTTAGTGTTGCCTGGGGCGTTTGGGGAAGCCAGTTGCATTGCAAAGTATTCGTTTCTGCCCTGAGTTAATTGTCACCACCTGCCGGCAATTAACTTGCAGTTTGCCCTGTTTCCCTTCTTCGGCTGCCGGTGCCTGAGGCAGTGAAATTGACTAGGGGTAGTGAAACTGAACAGTGGCGCTGGCCGTGCCGGGCTGAATCTGACATGCCCAACTTCAGAATTCTGGATGGCTTACAAATTAAGAAAGAAATGTCATAATATCACAAAAGTTTATAGTTGCCCAGAGGAAATAACAAAATGCCTCTTTGCTGTACCTTTCCTAGAGATGTGAACATCTTTGCTTAAACACAGATAAGTCAAGCATTCCTTTTGCTATTGTTATTCTTAAAAGGCATCACCCAGAATATTACAGTATAAATCAAAATATTTTAAAAATGAGAAATTGTACTTAAAGAAAATGAGAGACAGAACAAGAAATAGATGGACAAATGCATAAGAATATGTATAAAGTATTTCTCAGATTGCACTGAGCTTGCATCACCATTTATACAAGTAAAGATCTTTCAAAAGCTATTTTCCTTCTTGTTATTTCTTATTAGTTGTCCTTTGCTATTAAGATCAGGCCTCAGAATGATGATATAACATTTTGGAGCAAAGATGCAACTCAGTAATCCAGTGCTGGAAGCCAAGATGGAGAAGATCTCCACAGCTACCATGTATTTTCCTTTGGTACTTAGATAAGTTGGGACAAAAGACACCCAGACACTGCAAAAGACCAACATGCTGAATGTGATAAATCTGGCTTCATTAAATGTGTCTGGTAGCTTCCGAGCAAAGAAAGCTACCATGAAGCTGATGAGAGCCAGAAATCCCATGTAGCCCAGAATGTAGTAGAACATGTTGCCTGATCCTTCTTTGCATTCCACTACAATTTCTTCAGGCAGAGATTTCATATCTAAATCTAGAAACGGAGGGTCAGTACCTAGCCATATCATGCAAATACTTGTTTGAATAAGTGAGCCACACAAAACAATAGCAGATGCAAATCTTTTCCCCACCCATTTCCTTATTCCAGTTCCTGGTTTAGTAGCCATGAAAGCAAGAACCACTATAATTGTTTTGGCTAGGACAGAAGAAATGGCCACTGAGAAGATGATACCAAAAGCAGTCTGTCGTAGAAGGCAAGTCAGTAACTGGGGGCGGCCAATGAATAATAGAGAGCAGAGGAAGCAGAGAAAGAGTGAAATAAGGAGAACATAAGTGAGAGTTTGGTTGTTAGCTTTGACAATAGGAGTGTTCCAGTGCTTAATAAAGATTCCAAGCACCAAGACTGTAGTTGTAGAAAGGGCAAGACCCATAAAAGACAAACCCTTGCCTAAAGGATCAACATAGCTCAGGTAATTTAGTTCCTTAGAAAGGCATTGATCTTTTTCTTTGATAGGATATTGATCTTCTGGGCATTTGAAGCAGTCATCCATATCTTGGAGAAAGGGAGAGAAGCAGAGAAGGCCTATTTAGTCTTCAGGCATAAAGTACATGAGAAGGGGCTGACAGCCTTATAGATATGATCTAGATTTTCACATACAATTATACATTAAAAAACAATCCCAAAACTTTATGCTTAGTGTTGGACTTCTAAACATCTCCCTCGCATAGAAAAGATGAATTCTACTAAACAGAATCTGAATTCAAGGACAGCTGAGATAAGGGCTATCATGAATAAAGTATGAAAACATTTATCATTCCAGCCACCAATTGTTTCATCTTTCCAGTGTTCTATTACCTTGTGGGCAGTGATTACAGGGCACACTCAACTACAAAATAAAAATGCAGTCTTTAGCCTGGTGCATTATGTTAACCCTATCCTTGTGCTTAGATGATGATTCAGTGTTTCAGGAGGAGTCATGATGATATCACATACCAATAAGGCAAATTATGTAATTTGCAACAGTCACACCAGGATGTCATAATGACAATCAATATGAAATTTGTGCCATATGGATGAATGGTTGGCTCCAACCCTACAGAAGGAGGTTAAGATGTGGCTCTTCCCCCAGGTTTTGGGGTCAGGTTGAGTGGAATCCCCAGTGGGTGAGTTGTAGAAATTTTCACTTCTATTTATCATTTTATTGATTCATATGTTTTAATGTGTTATGTTACTTTCTTCCAATAATTTCTGGTTTTTTGTTTTTTGTACACTGTCCAAAGTTACATAGTTTGGGTAAGCACATTACATAATTTGGGTAAGATCCGCATAGTCAAAGCTATGGTTTTTCCAGTAGTAATGTATGGCTGTGAGAGCTGGACCATAAAGAAGGCTGAGCGCTGAAGAATTGATGCCTTTGAACTGTGGTGCTGGAGAAGACTCTTAAGAGTCCCCTGGACTGCTAGGAGGTCAAACCAGTCAATCTTAAAGGAAATCAACCCTAAGGCCTGGAGCAATATGGTTCATGGGGTCACGAAGAGTCGGACACGACTTAATGACTGAACAACAACAACTAATAAAAAAAAATTGCATTATTACCACATGGCATATGTGACATCATTTCTCCCCCTTGAGGCCTGGAGCAATATGGTTCATGGGGTCACGAAGAGTCGGACACGACTTAATGACTGAACAACAACAACTAATAAAAAAAAATTGCATTATTACCACATGGCATATGTGACATCATTTCTCCCCCTTGCCCATGGTTCATTTAGCCATTGGTACAAAAGTCAGGCAAATACAGCCTTATATAAACTGATTACAGATTGTAGTTTTATGTTTTGCAATATATTCTGATACCTGAAAACTTTATATAGAACTCTTTCAATTCAGTGTAAGGCAATAATCTAAAAAGGAAATATTATCTATTGTTAGTAAATAATATCTCAGAAATATGTGTTTTTCTCCTTTGTTTTCTCAATAGGTCATCTGGATTGAACTTTGGACCTTTCTGAAAGTAAAACTTCATGAAAAGAAGGTATACTCCACCACTAAAGTCTAGGTCTTCCTTATATCAGATGTAGATCCAATAGACAGACAGAAACTTTATCTTGGTCATTGACCAATAAAGATACATTCAGTAAAACAGACAAAGCAAAGTTAGCCCCTGACCTCAATGACTACTGGCAACCATTTGTGGGCAAAGCTTGCACATAATGTAGCAAAATTTTGCTACTTTTAGAGGGATAGATTTATCCTGGTTATCTAACAAATCATACAAATAAAAATTATCGGAAAGCCCCAGAAATTTAGATAAAAAAGGGGTAATCAGCTGGTGGCAAATATTCCTGTCAAACTGGCAGTACAAAAGAACATGGGCTGTGGTTTCTATAGCACCCATGTTACAGGGACAGCATTGAGTTTCATAAGGGCTTTTCCTATATTTCCCTTCCAAAACAGCTGTGGGGGAGACCATTAAATCAAGCTAAAGATAAAGCTCTCCTGAGTTCAGAAACTTTGATATGGTATAAATATGAAGCTGGTTTAGGCACTAAAATGTGGTTATTTACAAATATCTTGTGAGAGAAAGCAGCAATTTCTGTTTGGGCTTCTATATCTAAAATAATTTGCCTTAATATTAATAGAGCTTGATCTAACCCTAAAGATAAATTGGCATCACTGGAAAAGCCATAGTGGCTCAGTTTCTTTTGGACAGCTGTTTCCCAAGAAGATTTGAAATGGTCTGTCAATATTAGATGGGTCAGTCCACCAGGTTTGTGGTATAGTTTTAGCCATTAGGTACAGATATTTATCCAGAGATTGGATTCAAGTTTACTGACTCCTGCTTCCCATCGAAGTACTGCATCTGGGACACAGCGGGTAACCTGAAAGATGCTTCTCAAAAAAATTTTGGAATTCTTTCTAAGGTCATCATGCTGTTAGACGGTCCTAACTGATGGTTCCACATAGCAGTTGTGCTTGGGCATTAGCTGCAAGCAATTTAATTGCAGCAGGGATAACTGTGCTCCTCTGGCAAAATAGTAAGTTTGAATAGCTGAAGCAGATCTCTGTGCATTTCGAGATACATAATCCAGGTGGGCATTTCTGCTTCCTGAAGTCTGAAAAACTATCCCTAAATATTTAAAGATCTTAACCTGCTCAAGGGACTGGCCACCTAAGTTCCAGCTTCTCTGTTTTGGGCATTTGAAGAAAGTGAGAATTTTGGTCTTCGAATAATTTAGTATTATTTCCTCCACAATACAATAATGTTTAAGTGATCTGAAGGCTCTTTTAAGGCCAGTGGAAGTCAGTGACAGAATTACTGCATCATAAGCATACAATAGTAAATTAATATGTCTATGGGCTAATTTGGGGGGATGAAGAGTTACCTAAGTGAAGAACCAATGAGTCTATATAACAATTAAATAAAACTGGAGCCAATACACATCCCTGTTTAACTCCCTTCCTTACTGGTATTTTCTTAGTGACATGTCCTTGGTTACTAGACCTGACTTGTGTTCTCATGAATTTTAATGAGCAGCAGAAGCAGACGCCTATCTTTTGTGGTGTATTTAAATTTACACCACAGTTTACATCTAGATACTGTCGAAAGCTGACCTAAAGTCAGTAAATGCTACATAAAGCTAAAGTCAATAAATGCTACACAAAGGGATTATCCAGATTTATGGGTATACTTTTCTACTAGGTGTTGCAGCACCATAGCATGGTCTAATGTTGATCGACCTGCTCTAAACCCAGCCTGTTCATCCATCAGAATGTCTTCAGATTCAAGCCACTCAATTAATTTATCCTGTAGATGTTTAGCATATAGTTTGCTGATTTGACTTAACAAACTAATTGGGTGGAAATTAGCTGGATCATCTCTTTTGCCCTTCTTATATATTGGTATTATAATAGCCAAGCCCTACTCCTTTGGTACCATGGCCGAGTAATCTATTTCTGTGTAAAGTAAAACTAACACTAGGGTCCCCCATTCCAAGTTATTTTTTATTACCTCATATGTAATAAGGTCTGAACTGGGGATTTTCCCTGCTTTGAACTGTTTAATTATATTTCTGATTTCTGAACGTAAGCCTGGGGACCAATGGGGAAGAGAGGTCACATCCAGCCCCAAATCTGCCAATAATTTTTCAGATACAGTAGCAGAATGAACTTTGGTTGTTTATGAAGGATTTTTGCACCATATATTCTTACAGCTCGTATCAGATATATAACATAACAGGAGAGGTGTTTGGCATATCTTCCTCTCCCCATCTTGCTGTGCAATGACATACATCTTTTATTTATAGTTTATAGTATGATGTTCCCTACCTGTCTGGTTGGAAATCTTCCCTGATGGACATTCAGCACAAGCATAGCAACAAAACGGTTCCCCTTCTTTGCTTTGTCTGCTATAACCTGGAAGGCAGCGGTGATTACACAGGGACAGGGGCATGGCCTACCCATGGAAAAAAAGAATCCATTTTATCCTCATTTGTTGTTTAGTTGAGCCTCAACAGGGTGTTGTACTCGAATCATGGCATCATGGACTTCAGGGTGATTTTGTGTCTGGAATATTGCTAACCCATGGAGGAAGAGATGCTTAGCTCCCAGTTTGTAGGCATTTGCTTTGAATTCTATCAGATGCCATGGATAGAAGCAACACTGGCTGAAGAGATACTCCATTCTAGCCTTCCTTGCCTTGGGCACCCTCCATAGGTATGAATGTAAATTCCCAGAGTTCTCAGAAATGGCTGTGCATTACTTTGAGAAATCGTGAATATGCTAGGCAGAACAATTCTCCTCCATGTTTTTTTAAATTCCAGTTGTCATTTAACAAAAGGAATTTGCTTTAGAATGCACTTCAGAGAGAAGAGAATTGCAAAGAAATGCTCATGAATGAAATCTGATATCCTTGACCTTTTCTTATTACAAACTGTGAAGGTCTCATCTTTCATTATATCATCCACTGTAGGTATCTATAGCAGGCCATGATGATGGAAAAACGATGACACCTGTGAAGGGTCATCACAACAGTGAAGAATTCTATATTCTATAAGGATTATAATTCAACCTTGTCTCCTGTTGCCATCTTCCCATAGGGAGGGGTTTGTATATATGAGTTTCAGTTGCTCCTCATTGCTGGAAAAATTACTGTTGCATTTTTTTTTTAGATTTTGATCTTGTTACTATTTTGGAGGTCTGTAAGCCTATCAGAATCAGACATGATTGAAACGGTTTATAAGCCTAGTAAAACAAACCAATCAACCAACTCTGAGAAAAATCATCAAATAAATGTCCATATCCTATCTAGTCCATGGTCCTTATGCAAATGAATGGACAGTGATGGTGAATAATACAAAGCACTGGACCCTATTCATTCTCTTTCTGGTTTTCTACAGCTATTCCTCTGAATATATAACTAATATCTTTTGGACATCTCTCTATAACCCTTAGGACTAGAAGCTTTGAAACTTTTAAAAAAAAAATTCTTACATTTATATTCTGCCTTTAAAGTGGCATACATAACAATCCATATTTTTCATCCAGCAACAACCTCATGAGGTAGGTTGAGCTGAGAGGTAGTGTCTGGCTCCAAGTCACCCATGGCTGAGGGTGGATTTGAACCTGGCTCTCTCAAATTCTAGTTCAACCTCATGATCCAATACCATATTTTATTCTTTCACTTGATTTATTCACAAGCATTTTGTTCAAATATAGTGCTATAGCTCACCTTACAGCAAATGGTCTCATGAGGCAACTTACGTATTTGCTCCATATTTATATTTATCTAAGATGCCTTCTACCAAGCTACGTCTTTGGCGCTCATCCTTGGATCTTCATTCACCTCACTATCTCTTGTGTTCAGTCTTTAGTTCTGTAATGGTATTTTGTTATTGGACCTAACCAATTAGAGGAGAGCTGTAAGGAATTATGAATTGGGAAATAAGTTCCTTACAGTTCCCATCTCTGACCATTAACCTTAATGAAGGTGAGTGGGACCCAATCACATATCAGGTTTAGTCAAGATAAAAGCTTTAGATCTTGCGGTTTGGTCCTACCTCCCCAAATGTGTAGTGCCAGGTAACAACCTTCTCGTTAATAGACAACTGTTTCTCCCATGGAGCTTGGGGATCCATTTTCCCAACTTTCACTTTTAAGAAAGATTGATTTTGAAAAGTTATCCAGTTGATAATGTCAAATCCACCTTCTAATTCACCATTCTCATTAAAGAACAAGGTGTCTCCTGCGCTGTTGTTAAACGAGATCTTCTTCAGAAAAGGGTGGAGCTTTAGCGGAAGAAAACCAAGAGTAGGTCTCACTGAATTGCATTTGCCTGTTTGTTTCCAAACTGTATCTACCCCCTGCTCTCAAAGTGTTTCAGCGGTTTGCAATAAATATGCCAACTAAAAATCAAAGCACTAAAACAGTTAAATTTACAATTTAGAGGAACAAAGGCAACAAGTAGCAATAATAATTAAAATTAACAATATCAGCAGTTAACAGCTGGCACAAAAATATGTTTTTAAGAGAATTTTAAAAAGCTGGCAAAGATATTATGCCTTTGCACAACTCAGGGAGTGCACTCCAAAGGGCTGGGGTGGTGGCAAAGAAGCCTCAAACCCAAATCATTGCCAGATGAGCTCACGGCAATGATCTTAATAGCTGTGGAGGTTCATATAGGAAGAAGCAATCTCTCAAATAGCCTGGAGTGAAATCATGCATGGCTTTCAAGGTAATGACCAATTGGCACCCAGGTGCAATATGGCCTCCGTGTTCTTCCCAAGACGAACCTGGCAGGCAAGTTATGTCCCAACTGAAGTTTCTGGACTAGATACAAAGGTACTCTGTGTATAGTCCATCACCACACTCGAGGTTGTATGCTTCCAGCATGTACACCACCATTTTAAACTCAATATCTTCTAGAAAGGAACTTAGTTGCTGTTATCAACCAAAGCTGATAAAAAGCTGTTCTCTCAATCTGAGAAATCAAGAAAAGACTTGGAGCTAGAAGTACCCTCAAACTATGAATCAACTCCTTTTGGAAGAATGTAATCCCATTCAGAACAGACAGCTCTCTCACCTTTCTGGACTTAGGGCCCTCACAATCTGGACCTCTCTCTTGTTTAGGAAATATGACTGTGGAGAATAAGGAAGATGACCTTGATGGAGTAAGCAGGAACAGTTACCTAGGCAAAAGGGACTGAAGCATTTTTAAGGTCCATAATAAGATAGGTTTTGGAAGTGGTTGAGGAAGATGCTTCCCTAATTCACTGAACTACAAGAAGGAGAAGGACATACAGTATGATGAGACTTGGAAGATTGATATCAGCTCCACTAGGTAGACCAGACCAGGAAATTGACTGCAGGAAGGCTAAAACTACTTTTCTTGAGATTGGCTATAATTACAGAATCTTGCAAGTCTGAGGAGTACAAATTAGTCCCTCTACAGTCTGAAACAATTCAGAAGACCATATAGAATATGTGCAGAAGAGGCCTGCTTCCTTACTGCATGTATTAACCATAAGATATGTCTTCAAATGGGCTTTACGACTTGTCATGTCAGATTTGAGCTGAGTCTTCTTCCACCTGCACTTTATGAAGGAGAAAAATTCCCCTTCATTTCCCCTTCTATCTTTACCACTTCAGCTCCTGCAGTTCAACTACACACCTGGGGGCATTTTTCAAGCAGCCAGTGGAGTGGCACTTAGATGTAGTTGTGTCAATCACCCTAGCAAGCTCCTTATTTTAATGTGCCAATCAGGGCTTAAAAAGAATAATTGAAGAAACCAGCCCCCAATCTTCCCAACGTCTCTTGTAATACATCAGATCCATAACTGGAAACCTTCCAACACCATAAGTTTAGGTGTCTCCAACAACAGCTCCAAATCCAGTTTTGTCCTCTCAGTCTGGAATTTGTTAGGCAGCAGGGCAGTGATAGGGTAGCAGAATCCCCAATTTATCCCTGGTCCCAGGTCTAGAATACACATGCCCACTAGTAACCACATAGATATTCTGATAAGAGAGATATTTTTCTTTTGTATGATAGACTACACTGCCTTCTGCCCACATGTTTTGCTTGCTATACTACATTGTACCCAACTGGGAGAAACTGGGGCTGCCCAGACTATGTTCCAGGTTTTATTATACAAGTTACTTTCTCATCCATGATCAAATCGTGGATTATCTCTGCTTTATTTTGCACCAACCAGGCATTACTGAGGAGTAAAACCAGGTTCTTTGAGGGACTGGAGCTTCTCTTCAAGATCTCAAGGTCTCTGAAAAGGGGAAGAATCCTTAAATTACTCATCTCTGTTCCCTTGTAATGGCTTGCTGGCCCACCTGTGCCGAACTGTCTATTCCCCACCATCTTTTTCACACATTTGCATCACAAGTCATGACACAAGTAAAGAACTGCATGATTTGTGTGATGATGTCCTGATCCATATGTTGTCATTTTGATGGCACTGCAGCTTGTTGTAGATGCCTATGCTAGAAATGCAAATGAATTATTGTAGATCTACTTGTTGCTTTTTATTCCACTACAAGCTCATGAAGGAAACTAGCTATGAAAGACAAGATGTTGCAGAGAGACAAGGAAAAAAATCACTGTTTTTCAGTCCCCTTCAGCTTTGGTACTTTGTCCACACTCAAATGAACAGGTGTACATGCAGCTACTTTTTGCATAATCACACAGTGGGAAACCAAATTCTTCAGAGTTTAATGAATGAGCCATAGTCCCTGTTACTTTGGTAGGAATAGCACATTTTCGGCATCCTGCAGTCCTAGATAGCTATCTACTCATAAAAAAGGTAGGCTTGCTTAATGTGAAGGACATTACCTGAAAATATCGCAGCTTTGAAGACCAAACAAAGTGTTCAACCAGCCCCAATCTGTGCTTGGCTCTGGAGGAATACATAGCATGGAAAGCGTGAGCCACAGCATAGACCGCATTGTAGATGCTGTAGCTTTGACCCGTCATCTGCATCTCAAAAAGAGGTCCAGGAATATTTGCCAGCTTCTCATCCCCAGTGCAGTATGTCATCTGATTGTCCCCTCCATCTGCAACTTCAAACAAACAGTCAAATGCTTGTTCCCAGAAAAGTTTGATAAAGTTGTCGGCTTCAGAACGCGGATTCAAATTTTGAAGGAAATTTTGGAAATCCTGCACCTCCTTGGAATGAATTGCAAATGATAAGGCACCGTGGAAGATCTGTATATTCAGCTGTCTGTGAAATGTTTCGGATGAGAAATCCCAAGGAGCGGTCACAACCCACACTTTGTGAATAGGCTGTAATTCGAAACTATTAGCCACAAACTCCAACCAATGAATATTCAGCATGGTGTGTGTATCTGCCTTTGCAACAATGACACTGGCATTTGTTTCATGTAAGGATACAACTATATCCTTTAATTGGTTTATCAGTTCATACGGCTGAAAAAAATACTTATGACTAGGTATTTGCTCTGTGAAGGCTATACAGATCTCGCTCAGGGAAAGCAGATGCGTTAAGGTCTGCACAAACATTTCCC